TTGCTTCTCTCAGCCTGGATTTCTTGGTCTCCAGAACAAGTATAAATTTGACCTCCAAGATCCTTCCTATGCTAAATAAATGCAGCTATCCTGATCTCAAGACACTTAATATAAATGCATCTGCAAAATTACTCACTGTACTGATAACAGGGCGAAAAAAGAGTCTAAGGGGACACACAGATTCTGAGTTTAGTTGATAATGAACCTAAGGTATGCTCGGCTGGAGAAGGAGGTTGGTAGATGAGTTTGACGCAGACTTGGTGTATTGAAGTGGAGAAGCCTAGTAGTGTGTAGAATAGAAAGAAATACACTAGGGCACCAGCTTAAGCCAAGAGAAAACCTGGAGTCATCCACATACAAGGGTTTAATTACTGGAATTTGTATGGATTAACACATCCTGTAAGGGGTAAACGAAAGACAAAACAGCAAATGCCTGCATTCTGACTGAATCCATGTGGAAGGGGATTTGGCAAATCATTTCAAACAGAAGCTTGATCAGAGGAAAGGTGAATCATCTTAAAAACTGCAGGTCCTCAAATAATATCGTTTTGTTCAATAGTGACAAAATAATTTTTTTTTTTTTTAAATAACTTCAGGCCTTCCCAGTGGCGCAAGGGGTTAAGCACAAAACAGTGAAGTTGTCCGCAACCTCTGCAGCACGAGTTCAATCCCCAGCCAGGGAGCTACCCACATGGCACATCAGACCTCTCCTATCTTGCCCACTGCTCCCCTCAGCAGTGTATTTCAGTAGATCAGCCCATTCTGCGCCCCACTCTGTCTCTGGTGAGTCCTCTCAACCTCCGTACTTCTGGCCTGTACCCCAGTCCTTGTATGCATAAATAAACAAATCTTTTAAAATTAAAATAACTTCTACAGTGTAATCCAATATTATCCCTACATTAAGGAAAATACAAAAGGTAGTTTTTGCAGGACAAATTATTCCATCTAGATTTCAGAGCTATTTTGATCACTTTTCCATCAATGTACAGTTTTATACAAGTATACTGTTCAACTTATTTCCTTATTTTAGTAAGTAGAATTTACCGAAGCCAGTAAATTAGTATCTGCCAATAATAAAAGTGACCAGTTAGATTTACAGAAATATCAGTAATTTATTCAAAAATGAAGAGCTAATTAAAACTTAGAAAGTGTGTCTCCTCGGTGGCGCAAGGGGTTAAGACGCAACCTATGAAGCTGTTTGCAGCCTCTGCAGCACAAGTTCCATCCCAGGCAGGCCAGGGAGCAACCCACATGGCCCAACAGACCCCTCCTGACTCGCCCGCCGCTCCTGTGAGCAGTGTATTTCCCTCGATCTGCCTGTTCTGTTCCCAACTCTGTCTCTGGTGAATCCTCTCACCCCACCCCCACACCTCTGGCCTGTACCCCAGTTCTTGTATGCATAAGTAAATAAATCTTTAAAAAAAAAAACTTAGGAAGTATTTTCATTTGAAAGCTATTAGTTTAGAAACCCATGTAGTATTTCCTTGTTTTTGGCTAGGATTTTAAGCTAATAAACTGTACGTTACAAAGTATTATAGGGCAAGGGCAAATAGGATACAAAAATAATTCATAGAGTAATTTAAAATTCTGAAATTCTCTAGGCATTGCTGTTGCTTCCATACCAAGTTCTCACACCTGACTCGCAATGAAGTCCAACTGCCTCTGCAAGTCCAAGTCCAGCAGTTTCCAGGGACTTGGGAGCCCGTGAATAGTATTAAAATGTTATGTTCTTAATATAACGTCAGCATAAGTCATGCTCGCTGGATGATCCTCCACTGGTCTCTCAGCTGATCATGGTGTTCTAAGCGAAATTTGAGTCTGGCAAAGAATAGGACTTCTTATAGAGAAGAAAGCCAACCTCTCACCTCAAATGTTATGACAGATTGTAGCTTTTCTGAGATGAACAAAAAGTTAGCACATCATTGCAAAATGCCTTATTATTAGATAATGAGCAGCAAAATGAAGATCACACAATGGCAGTCTGAGCAGGAAGGCTTTAACCTAGCTCTGACCTTTCTTTTGGCACATGAAGAGATTGCTGGGCCTCAGAAGTACATCTCTGTACAGTGTATCTGCATGGCTTACCGTTCTTCAAGGAGGCCCCCTTCCCCACACCTTTTGTAGAGGTCAAGAGAGTCAAATTAGTCAATATTTTGGAATAAGTTTCTGCAGATTTCCCAGTGGAAAAAAAAGTAAGTACTATAAACACTTCATATGTAGTTTATAGACAAAAACACTTAATAAAAACATGCAATCATATGCTAGAACAAGTTCAAATTCATGGTTATCAAAGAAAAGCCTCACAGTGACAACTGCTGGTGTTCTAAATTCCTCTTCTGATTCCAAGCAGTTACAATTAACTGTTGGTATTCAAAAATCCTCTGCCAATTCAAAGCAGCAATAGTAAGAAGGGAGAATCTGAAGCCAAACCTCAAATTTTATCTTGAATATATAAATGGCAAACTAATGCCAAGAAACTTTGCAGATGTCTGTTTCCTCAGATAGTTTAATAAGGATTTATTTAATAAAGTATCACCTAATTCTAGCAATCTATAGGATATGACTTTTGTATGTTCCAAGTTTCTAAGTAGTTTCTAAATCGTATTGGTACACACTATCTATGTGTGCACAATGTATATTCAATGTGTGATTCAAATAAGTTTCTACAATAAAAGCAAAACTCTTGTAAAGTAGGCTTCAGAGAAGGTAAACATTGAAGTTTTCTTCTTAAAATGCAACCTAACAAAGATGACCACATGTTGCACTATAGTACATGCATTAACATCTTCAACCCCTTCCCCATTACTATGTGTAAAACATCTACGACCTGCTGTGGAAAATCAGAAGGAGCATTTGTCTTCATGTTTTTATATGATCTGGGAGAATCAAGAAGACATAAATTTGAAAACAATGTGTAAGTGTCAAGATGGTTTGAAGAACCTCAATGGGTGGTGATTACCATGGAATGTCAAAAGGAAAGTGTCCAGTCCCTTAAAAAACAGTGCTTGCTCTAAACCTGGTGACCATACAGTGAGAGCCTGACTTTTAGGCTCAACTCTTTAAAAAGCCATCGTACCCGATCATGGAAATAATTCTGGAGGAAAGCAGTTCCAAGACCGGTCTTCTACTCAAGACACACTATATTCTAAGATACTCCTAACTGTGACATAAATATCCTCCAAGGTTGACCATTTCTCACTCAATTCACAGTATATTCCATTTCTGAGAGCTACCTGGTCTGATATTCAGCAGCAATATCTTGTAAAATGTAGTGCTGGTCCTAAGTCTACCAGGCTTTTTCATCATTTTTTTTTTTTCAACCAAGGCCATGCCATCCCCTATTTTTTAAGTGCATTAATTTAATGTTTCTGTATATTGCCTATTTCAAGCACACAACAAAAAATCAACCTGTATCTTTGGAACTAATGGCCTTGTTTAAATGCCAATATCATATTCATTAAAATAGCTGTAGGGTATTAATGAACTAGGCTACAATTCAACACGGATGATCTAATGTCCTAGCCATTCATTTCCTACATGAAAAGACATGTGGGTCTTTGCACTAGTCAATAATTCCCCTTCCATAATATATTACTAAATTTATACACAATTCATAATGCTCATAAGTATACTCTGGCAATAGAAAAAGCAATGCATGAAAAAGATGTTGGCAAATGGTTTCGCAAGTGATGAACCTTTATTGCAATGTGTAGGTAGCAAACTAAACACAGCAGACTGTGGGCAGCACTGCTTTTCCCTCTCAGGGAATCAGGAGTGGGAGGCCATGCAGGGTTCCAGCTCTGGGCACCAGAAGCTCTGAATATTTATTTTAAAAGGGAGTAGGGTTAGCCTGAGGAAAGGGGAAAGGCAGACTCCCAACCAGAGGAAGCTGGGATGGAGATCCTAGCTCATTCAGTCTGCAGAGCAGACTTTGCAGGGCACCCACCTTTCGAGGAGAAAAGGACAAGGGCAAGGAGTCTGGGGGTTCCACAGGGCAACTCCCCAGAGGGAGACCCAGAGGCCTCGGAGAGGCCCAGCACTGGTGGATGCAGATGCTCAATCACCCTTTTGAAAAGGGAAGCAGCAGAGAAGCAATGGATTTGGTGCCCACAAACGCGTGCAAAGGAAGGTTCGGGGGTCCCCCCAAATAAATTCTTATTTTAAAAACAAAAGCCAGGCTCGTGGCCATTCTCAGAGGCGACCACATTACTCCCAGGGCTGGAAAGCAGATCTGCAGAGGCCAAAGATTAAACAAAAGGCATGAGCTGGCGAGATACAGACCTGGAAATGAATTTTTTTTTTTTTTTTTTTTTTTTTTAGTGATTAGGGCCTCCCGGTTCCCATTCTTTCTCCCCTTTGGGATGATTCTTGGGCCGCTGAGCAGATCTCTTAAGGCCTGTTAAAGACGTCGGATGGGGAGGGGGAGGAGACCCCGAAACTTTCCCAAACTGCGGCAGGCTGGTGGCGAGCAGCGACCGCAAATGCCGGGGTCCTGGGGCGCAGGGGGCATCCCCGGGTCGACGGCCACCCGGTGGCCCACCACAACAAAAGGGCCGAGTGCAGCCTGGGTGCTCCGGCTTCCAGCCCCTGAGCCCCGACAGGGCGCAGGCAGCGGCGACCCCGAGACAGCCCTTTCACCCCAGGATCCAGAGCCGCGTGTCCGTGTCACGGTATAAAAGAAAGGACCTTCGGGTGCATCCAAACCGGCTCCCCAAAGCAGCGACAGCTGGTGCCACCCGCAGTCGCTCCCGCCCCCGGGCCGGGTCCCCGGGGAGCATCTGCCCCGGGCACCCCGGCGTCCCCGGGCGGCGCCGCCCCTCGGGCACCGGCGCGGGGGTGCAGGCCCGGCGGCGGGGGCTGCAGCTCGGGCTCCGGCCGCCGCCGCCACAATGCGGCCCGGAGGTCCCCGCCCGCCCCTTCTCTGCGGCAGGCCCGCGGCCGACACAAAAGCCCGCCGGCCCCGGCCCTGCGCCTCCCGGGCCCCGCCGCCGCGCACCGACCTTGGGCTCCCGCGCCCGGCTCCCGCAGCGTCTTGGTCACCGCCTTCCAGACGTGGCAGCCCAGCAGGCAGAGCAGGAGCGCGGCGGACCTGCCCATCTCCGCGCCGCGGGGCCCAGGCGGCTCGCGCTCCCCGACCACCGGGACGGAGCGGCGCGTCAGGGGCGGCGGGGCGCCGCGCCTCCCTCCATGGCTCCTGGCTCCGCGCGCGCCGGGCCCGCCGCCCGATTGGCCGCGCCCCCCACCCCGGCGCGGGGCCGGGCGCCGCAGCCCACGGCCGCTCCCTCCTCCGCGCACCCCGGTGGGTTTCCCCGAAGAGCCGCGGCCGCCGCGCCGCCAAGTCTTTAACCCCTTCGTGCCCCCCGCCCCGCCCGCGGGCGGCGCCCAGGCCCCGGGCCGTGGTGCCACCTGGTGGCCGCCGCGCCGCGGCTGGAGAGGCCGTGCGCCCCAGAGCGGGGCTCGGGCCTGCGCCACCACGCCGCTCCTCGCCACCCAGCGCGCGCCAGCTCCCGCCGCAGAGAGCTCCCCGCACCCCGCGCCCGCCCGCGCGCCGCTTTGGAGAAAATACACCTGCCTTCGGGTCAGGGGCCTTCGCACCTGGTTAACGGAGGGTCCTTGGGCGGTGCCTGGGTCTGGGGGCGGGGGTGGGGGGTGGCGACCTCCCGGGGTGTCGCCACGATAACGCCACCTTGCAGGTATTCACGTCCCAACCCACCTGTGCCCCCCCGGGCAGGTATGACAGCCAGCGATTAAGGGCAGCAGGAGCAGAATCCCTAAGCCTGCATAAACTGCAATGGTCCCTAAAGCCTAAGGGGAGCATCTCCAGGTGGAATTGTGCTTGGAGATTGCGGGAATGTTAGGTGTGGGGAGGACAGGGAAGAGGTGTTACAGTCATGGGGCCCTGGGACCTTTTTATTTATTTATTTATTTTTCATTTTCTTTTATCTTCACAATGTAAGAAGTAAGTGTTAACTCCATTCACACTTGAGAAAATCGAGGCTAGGAAGGGTTAAGGATTTGCCCAAAGCTGACACAGCTGGTCAGTGCCAGAGCCAGGCTTGGAATAAAACAGTCTGGCCCTAAGGTTTGAAGCTCTTCACAAATACCCCAGACTTCCCTAACTCCCACCCCCACCCCAGCTTCCCCTTCTCCCAACTTGTTCTTGTCTGTGTGCCTTCCTCCATTCAACCCTCAGGACCACCTTCCACTCTCTTCACTCCATCTCTCAAGTAGCACTGCAGAGACCCTGAGACCTGTGCTGGGATCCAGGTTCTGAGGAAATCCACCCCAGACTGACTGAACACTGCGCAGAGGAGGGTTATTACTGTCATTTTATTAATTGAGCATTAAGGCATAGCAGGCACTGTACCAAAGAAAAAATGATGGCACTTGCCCAGTTAGCTTATAAATAGACAAATTATTGTCCTACACAATAGAGGCCAGGAGGTAGAGGAGCCCATATGGGCTTTATGATCACCCTCAGGACCAGTGCTACAATTAGTGGAAATTGTGCACCTGCACAGGGTGGCAGGTTGTCAGGAAGGCAGAAAGAAAACCCGCAATTAGGCCTGCCTGATCCCTCCTCTTCCTGACTTCAGTGGCATAACCTTAGTGTCGTTCCAGGGTCCACCTCAGAATCAGGGGAGAGAAGCAAAAGGGATGATGACAGGGCAGCCAGGCCCCCAGGGGCACCCACCTAGATTGCTGGAGGGCGGATGACTTCATGAACAGAGCTTTTCCAGTTTTCAGATCACTTTCTTGGGGCAAGAGCTTGCTTTGAGAAATAGCATTAAGCCCTTCCCACTTCATATCTTTCCAGGATGTGCCTTCATCAGGAATGTTGGTTATGAGATTATTTTTGCCTGAACAACAATAACCATCATCATTGTCATCATATTCATCAAGAACCAGGTTATTATTAGGTCACCCAGTACTTCTACAAAATCCTGGGAGCTGAATTGTTGGGTCTCATGAAGGAATAGAGGGAAATGATTATTGGGGGTGAGGGAGGGTGCTCCTTATATGCATAGTCTCATTGAACTGGAGACATTTACTCGTAATAACTTAGTCCAATTTTGCGGATAGATAAACTGAGACGCAGTGAGAAATAATTTGCCCAAAATATCCAACGCTCAAATTCCCTTTACCATGTTACCACCAAGAATGAATTTCTTGCCAATACTTCCAGTTACCTCCTACTGTGTTCAGATTGTTTTCCAAGCCTGTTCTGCTCCAAATAAGGTCCAAATTAAACTGATAGTATCTGGTACATAATATCATGACTGTCCGTTTCCTGGTTTTGTTAACGCACTACAGTTATGTAAGATGTTACAATTGGGACGGGAGCTGAGTGAAGAGTGTAAGGACCTCTCTCTACTATTTTTGTCACTTTTTGAGTTTATAATTATTTCAAAATAAAACAAGTTTTTAAAGGAAAAACAACGTGTTCTATAGTATGTGGGTTTTTTTTTTCTTCCTGTCTTATTGTTCACTCAAAACACTGGTGCTTGTGATCCCAGTATAGTGTTCTAGAACTTTTAAGAGCCTAAGGAGTCTTAGTAAACACTAGATAAGTCAGATCAAGTTTGGCTCACTGTTTTTGACTGTAGATGCTCAGGAATAATGGTTGTTACTATTGTGTGTGTAACAAAGTTTCTGAGGATGACATAGCACTTGAGAAGTTTATATACATTTATAGCAAGCTGAGGCTTCTATAAATAGTTTCAGAACCACTACCCCCATCTCATTTTGCAGATGCCCATTGTGAAACAGAAAGGCTAAACACTGTGCAGGTGCACCCTGCAAGCCAGTCTTAAAGCCAAGAAGAGATTTGTGTGTGATCAGCAGGAGCTGAATATTTTCCAAATGCATGAGTGGGAGGCTAAGAAAGCGCAAATTCTGCTAAATCACAGCAAGTCAGTTGCATATCATCTGCCCAGAATTATGTAAAAATTAAGTAATCACATGTCTTCTCTACTGGAATAAAAGAAATGGTTTACCTTTTCTCATGTTCCAATAATCAGACTCCTACTTGGTAACTGGGAGGGGGAAAATCACTTCTAGAGAAGTAGTGTTTGCAGAACAATGGCAATCAGAAGTGTTCTTTCCTTCTAGAACTTTTCCTGTTGCTCTTATTAAAATCTCACATTGTTTAACTAAAGATGAATTATGACTGTACTTATTTGAAATTGCTTGGAAGTTGCCTGACTGTGCAGCATTTGATTTCAATTTTCGAGTCTTCTGCCAAAAGCAGAGGCGCCACATACAGAACTTTTCCTGCCTGCATTTCCAGAGCCCTTGGTTTCAGAGGCTCTGTGTCAAGTTTCTTAACCCAAGGTTATTTATTCTATTGAAATCTTTCCTGATGTCGGTGCCACTTGGTGGAGTTGTAATTATCCGAATGTACTTCAAGAAGCATTGTTTTTCCTCCTCCCCTTTTCTCTTCCTGCCTCCTGCCCCCCTTCATCCGCCCCTGAATGAGAAGCTGCCTGTGAACAACACATTTTTATAAGGTTTGTACAGATCAGGAAATGTGTCATGGACATTCCTACTTCTGTTTTCTGAAGCTGTTAGATAAATAAATCGTAGCCATAGGTGGAAATTACAAGGACTCAGCAATTTTTTCAGAGCTCGTTTTACATTCATTTGAAAAAGGCAAAGAAATTAGTAGACGAAGAAATTATTGAAGAGGGATTGACATGTTCCATTTATCCTAACACTCCTTTTTCTCCTCTATGTGTGGTCCGGCACCCATAAGGCAATCCATGTTACTTTCAATAAGAAATTGCCTTCAGGGGCCTCCCCGGTGGCGCAGCGGTTGAGCGCTGGGTTGCGAAGCTGCCGCAGCCTCTGCAGCACTGGTTCGATCCCCGGCTGCTCCCCGGCCACCAGAGGAGGGTCCCACATGGCGCGCAGACCTCTCCTGCCACTCGCTGCTCCCCTCAGCAGTGTACCTCGGTCCTTCTGCCTGCTCTGCTCCCTGCTCTGGCTCTGGTGAATTCTCTCACCCTCCTGCGCTTCTGACTGTACCCAGTGCTTGTATAAATAAATAAATAAATCTTTAAAAAAAAAAGAAAAGAAATTGCCTTCAAAGACCTTCTTCTATTTCTACAACCTCCTTTCTCTCATTCAAGTTCTCAACTAGAGGAGACAGTTTATTAAGGAAATTATTCTGTGAATGAATGTCTGATGTCAGCTTCATGTGAGAAGTTGTATATTAGCCTAAAAGAGCAAATGTCACCTCCTTAGTGAAAGGAGGCTGGGACGTGTCAGTAGGTCCTGACTGTTGGAAAGAATATTCAGTGGCTAGCGGCTATCCCAGAATCCTCAGCCATACAGTTTAAGTCAGTATTCCCTTTTAATGAGTCTGCTCCATTAGAGCAAGGAGAAGCTTCCAGCATAACCCTTCGCGGATCCACTGAATTACTCTCATTGAGATGAGGCAAGTTCAAGGAGAGGAATTAAGTTTCCACTTTCCACCTGGAAGAAGTGTCTATCTGTGATATCTGCCTTCAGAGAATTGGCAGGGACATCAAGCCAAGCAGAAAAAAAAAATGTTGTTTTTTTTTTTCCCCCATAAAAAATGTAGAATGAGAAATAAAAAGACAGGAAGATAATGGAAAAGAATGGAGAGTATAAGTAGCATTCACTGAACTTCTGTTGACTGGTTCATTCTGTACCTGAAACAGGGAAGGAAATTTCACTATGCCAGAAGCCACAAATTTCCCTAATCTCTGGTTAGTTTTCAGGTTAACTCTTTGGGTATCACTGTCTTACTCTTTTATTTTTCTTCATTCCCTCTGTGTTTAATTGTGAGGTTTTTAAACCAAAGTTACCTGCCACCAGACACTTTATCTGAAGGCCCTAGTCCTCTTAATTAAACAAAGGGCCTCTCCCTCTAACAGAGCCCTTCACAACAGGTCCCATAAACATGGACATGAGTGAGAAAGGGATTTGTATGGACAGATAATACAATAGGCTATGGTGTATTTACATATTCAGTTTCCCAGTTCACTTTAGTCTCCACCAGAGTAACACCACTGAATTCCTGTACCTTGTAGCTTGTGGAGAGCAGACTCTGGAAATTCTCCATGATTATGTGAGCCAATTCCTCATAATAAATCATATACATTTATTCTATTGGTTCTATTATTCTGCAGAACTCTGACTAATATACTAAGGAACTATGGGTCTCCTACTGATCTGGAAATAAAGGTGTAATAAATTAAGAACTTCAGTGATATGGTCTGAAAGAACATAGGGTAGACGCTCTATCAGTTAGCTCACAGTTGATGGAAAAAGAAATCTTGCTCATTTTTAAAGCAGGTACTCTACAGGGATTTAAGAGCTTTGAAATTTGTGGACAGAGAGGGCTCTAGACTGAATCTCCAGAGCATCACAGCTCTTTAACATGGTCAGGAAAGGGAGTGTGTGTGTGACCCTGGTCAGGAAAGAGGGGATGCGAACCCCTCTGTAAAGGTTGTACTCAGGACCCCACACTGATGCTGGGTCCACGGATCTGGATGTGGTGCTTCTCCCTGTTCTTCTGCTTGGGTCGACACAAGGAAGCTGCCATTGTAGAACAGTCCAGAACTTTCAGGTCAGTGCTGGCAGGAGCAGAGGGACAGCCCTGTCTCAACGTCGCCTTCCAAATCTCTACCAAGAGTGTGTAATTAGCAGAAATTCACTCTCACCCAGAAGCCTGGCTGAGAGGAAATATGGAAATATCATTTAAAAAAACCTAACTTCTGACGTGGATGACAGCATTCCAGAACAGCATGATGTTGACGGCCAATTTATTACATTCCCACAGAGCCCTAGAATCTAGTGGCAGGCGGCTCCATCCTGGCCTCTCCCCAGTTGTAGATTTAAGGATAACTGAAAATGTCCAGTGGCTCCTTTATAGTGGTTCTTGTATCTTTTCTGCATTTTTGAAAATAATATGCAATGGTAGAAATAATGGCATGCTGGAACACAAAGCAAAACAGGAGCTGCACGCTGCTGCTACTGCGGGGTATGAATGGGCTTAAGGGCTCACCGCACTGCAGTCTGCGTCCTCCCCTGCAGCACCCGCACTGCGGCTACAGTGGCGATGTCCTGGCTCAGGGTTGCTCTGGCGAGTGTCCACCCGGCCACGGCTTCCCTGAGTGCGCTGCCCGCGAGCCTGCCCTGAACTCAGCACGGGTAGGATCTGGACAGGCCATCAGTCGCTGTTAAGTAAGGTGCTGGAACTGAAAATGGACCCCATTGCTTGGAGCTTGACCACCACCAATCAGACAGCTGGCTCTGTAAGTGGAACAGTCAGGTTTAGAGCAAGGGGATATAAGCTGAGGCTCTGGTGTGCTAGGATTCAGACCTTTGGATTCGGCCTCCTTGGAACTTTATCCTGCGAAGACCTTCACAGGCAGTCTGGTGGAAAGGCTCTCTGGACCTCCTGGAAAGAACTTTGAGAACGTCACAGACTTTCGTAGACCTCAGAGACCTTGGCGTCTGATTTCCACTTCAAACCGCATCAGACTTTTCTGCCCTCCTGCCATTAGGATAGATGATGGATCCCTGCGGTCCCAAATGCATGCCTGATGGTGGGCACCTGGAGTAGGGTGTGGGCATACATTAGTGGATACACCTGTGCTGAGAGACTGGGCTTATAAGGGTGGCATCACGGGGACGCCAGCATAAGAACCATGAGAGCGGAGAGCGGAGAGCAGAGAGAACGCGAGAGAAGGCCGGAGAGGCCAGAAAGAGTGAAGGCTTGCTGGGGGCCTGGCAGGCCTGCCAGCCTCCCGGCCCCCCAGCACCCCAGCCATGCTGTTCTGGCACACGCAGCCGCAGCACTACAACCAGCACAACTCCAGAGCTACCTGCGTGATGTGCTTGCTCTGCCCAGCTTCAAGCAGGAGGAGCCCCAGTTGTCTACTGAGAAAGGGGCCTTCCTGCCCCCTACATGGGGTAAGACAGTCGCCGCTGTGGTCCTAGAAACTCCTTTCCCCCCCAATTTCATTTGTTAATCAGCCCCACTGTTGCTGCTCCCTGAGCCTGAGTGGTGTCTTGTCACTTTGAGCTCATGGAAATTGTGAACTCACAGGTGAGAACACACAGTGACCTGGCCCCAAACTTTGGCACTGTTTGAGTTAACTCTGTTTTAAAAAAACAAAACAAAAAACTTGAGAGAACTCGTCTGTCCTCTGTTTCACAAATACAAAATATGAAAATGATTGTGGGATGATAAGTTAGTCAAAAGTCACCCAGTAGGCTGGGAAGACAGGTTATCTGCGGAGATGAGGAAGGTGCTCCTCACTCTGGCCCGGGGAGGGTACCTCCAGGTGTGGTACCCTCCAGGTGTGGAAGGTGTGGTTGCACAGGAGAAACTCACAGATGGGGAAGGCAGCCTGTGGAGACCTGTCTGTAGAAATAATTCTCTTTAGTGTTCTTTCATAGCATTAGCTTCATCATGTCACTTCTTCAAAGCTCCTTCTGACTACCCTATCCAAAGTAGCCATCTTCCTAATACTTATCATGATCTGAGGTGGTCTTAATATTAAATTATTCAGCTTTTTATGTCTGCTACCACCACGTTCACTAAAATACAGCTTCCATGAGAACAGGGCTTTTGTCTTGCTCACTATCATATTCCTGGCACCTAGAAAAATGGGGACAAAATAGGTTCAAAAATTGTTGTCCAAGGTGAAACATTGTATATTACTTTGAAGAAATATTTCTTTCCAGTTAGTCTAAATATATCTCTGCTACACTGATTTATGAATTAGCAAATATTTATAGCATCCTTGCCATGCACCCAAAACTTAAGGAGGTAACTTAAGATCTTTTCCAATCTGACCTTCTGCCTCCTCCCAGAACTTCCCTCTGATGACTCTTCTTCAGAAATCCCACTCCAGATGGCAGGCAGCACTCCCTGGACTGAACTTGAGCCTTGCCAATACTGATTAGCCTATGCTGATTCATCCATTCCTTTTCTCCTTTAAGGTGAAGTTCAAACCACCTCTCACGATGACGATGACGCTACAGTCCTTAGTGCTCTCTGGAAGGTAAGGCACATTCCATTCATTAACTACTCTGTAGAGTTAGTTATCTAACTGATGATTTTATGTTACCACCTGTTGGAAATGTCTTTATACGCATATGTTAGACTATGTATAGAAAAGATGTATAGCCAGATTCTGAAGTGCAAGAAGTCTGTCTCTAAGAGTCAAAACCACTAACATCTGGAGCTGCTATCTGGGAATGTTTGTGTAAACTTTTGACCTCTGAAAGTACACTATTCATGAGTTCTGACATTAGAATTTAAGGTAAAAGATTTATGCATGCAATAATTCTCTAGAATCGTCTCCTCAAAAGCAGGCATCCTTCAGTTATTTAAAATAAACTTAAAATAGTATATCTGAAAATCTGCGCGTGATATCTTTTCCACAGCTATATTTTGTCTTCCAACTTAGCAAGCTCTTGAAAGAAATGCCTCTTCTACATCTTTGTAACTCCCTCAAGATCTCCACGATGCCTTGTTCAGAGCTGACTTTACATGATGCCATTGATTTACATATTGGTTGGTATAAATAGATTTGATAGATTGGAAAGGATTCAGATGAAATCTCAATTGTCACATGGAATGGGCTGCTTTGGTGTACATATGATCTTATACAAAAATTATCATTGCAACTATTTTTAAAGCAAGTTGTTATATAACAGCATCATTTTTATCTAAATAAAAATATTTTCTTCTCAAATAAATATTTTTGAGTCACCACTCTGCAAAACTTAGGCATTGTCTCCCCCACTCCATCTGCTCAACCCTTCCCCCCAGGAATCTGCCCTTCCTTAAAGTGAGGGTTTGGGCAGAAGATCTATGAGTGGTCATCCTGGGTTGAATTTTCCTGAGCAGGATGGTTTGTCCTGGCCAGGAGTGATGGGAGACAAGAACTTGAGAAATTCAATTATCAGGCAGGAGAACCTTTTGAATGGGGCCAGGAATGGGGTCTAACCCACATGGAAGAACCTGGGACATACTCTGCATATCCTGACAGCTGGCTCTCAGAAATCCTTGTGAAAAAGTGTCCAATAGGAGCATAAAAGGTAAGATTCCCAGGTTTACAGAAGTACCAAACAAACAGACCAAAATACCCCACTACTCAGTCTTTCCCTTCTCCAACACCAAGATCAATGCCTTGCTAAAATGATTCATCAGCTGAGAGTCTTATTGGGAATCACTGCAGTTTCTTTCTGTCCATAATACATAAGATGCCAGGAAGTATGGTGGTTACATGTCTGAGCACTGACTCTAGGCTGACTGGACTTGGACCCCAGTTGTGTGACCCTTGGTAAGTTAGTTCATCTTCCTTCATTTGCTTCTTTGTACAATAGGGATGAAATGCTGGCATCTCTCTGCTAGAGTGGTTGTGTAGATTCAGTGAGATAAAGGCTCATTAGTAGCTGCCTGCAAGTTTAGTAGTTAATACTCTGCTGCACCAGGAGGCTTGTTCTGAAGATCAGGAGGCCCTTGGGAGGCACTGCCTTTGCCTTGTGTGCTGCTGTTGAGGGCTCTCTCCTGTGCTGTAGGCTTTGACTCTTCAGACAGTGGAGATGGCTTTAATGCTGTTCCTTCCATGATAGGTGCTCGTGTGCCTTAGCATCTTTTTTGTCACAACCCCTTCTGCTGAGTTGGGGATGCTGCATGGGCTCCTGGATACCAGAAAAGAAGGATGGTGATGCCTTCTTGTAGAGGACAGAAACCGAGCATCTGAGCTTATCTCCTGGGCCTATCATGCAGTCTTGCAGTCGAGGGAGCCCCAGGTCAGGCTAACAGGGTTAGGAGAATAGCAAAGCTTTCTTTAGTAAGATGCAGCCTGGAGGGGCAACAAAAAAGTTAGGAGAGAGAGAAATGATCATCCCACATTCTCAAGTCTTTAATGTTAATTTACCAGTTTACATTTTTTCACAAGAACTAAATTGTCAAAATATGAGGATTAGTTCTCTCTTAACAAGGCCACAAAGAAGGAAATGTATTCTGCAATTGGTTCTTTTGCAAAATGCATTATTCAAAGTAGCTTGCAAATTGAAAAGGAAATACAGGAGAAAGAACAAATCTTAATTCAAATATGCCTCAGAAGTTCTAGAATAAAGCTGCACTATGAGCAAAGCATTCAACTTCTATTCCACAGAGACAGCTGCAGATGTGACTTGGGCTTAGAGCACATTCACCATCTTGCCTGTGTGATATGCAGTCTCCATTCATTTGGTACCCATGCTTTCCTAAGTGATCTACATTTACTGTCCTCGGTCCTGGTGACTTAGGGCTGACTCCCGGGATGGACATGCTATCCACATCTGACCAATCCACACGAAGATCTCTCTAATCACAGCTCAGAGCTGGGAGCAGCTGTTAGTCTAAGTCAGACTTAATTTCAGGAAAGACACATAGCAGCAGAACCAGGAACTTTGGACATATTGGCTAACCACTTCTTAAAATCCTGCTTCATAATAGATGAAGAAAGTCATTAAAAGCACGGTAATTCTTTGTGTATTAGATCCTAACTTTTTATTATGTTTTGAAACATAACCTGCCTATTACTGTTTTCTCTTCCTGCTTGTCACATGTACATCACAACACTGTCAGTGACAGATCTGCTTTTTTCACCTTAAGAGTGTGAATTTAAATATCTTTTTTGCTCAAGTATCACAATCCACCACCACCTGTGAGCTGTCTTCTGGGTAAGAGGAGGTACAGGCTGTCCTTTTTCATGAGGTAAATCACAAAAACCAGACCTATTTGGTAAATGGTTTAGAATTCAGCCATCACTGAAAACTCAGTTTTCAAATATAGATGTTATCCTGGCCAATAAAAATAGAAACCGCCATAAAGGAGTTAATTAAACATAATAAACAGTTCAGGCGGAACAGGAAGCTACTATTTTTCCCGTCTCCAAAGCGTATATTATAGGGGAAGGAAGGCCTAATCAGCAGAGAACCGGGAACACGAGAAGAATGGGAAACTCATAGCCAGGACTAAGTGCTTGGCATTGAAGAAAAGCAAAATCACAAATTTAATTCCTGGTGTGGTTTCAGTGCACGCCTGTGTGTAGGGGGTGTGATGGGGAGGGGGCCTGGGGATTAGAAAGCTATTTATACAGATCAGTTATCTATACAGTTTATGATGTAAAATGGCCAAGTTTGTGGTTTCTTTACACTAGGATTTGCAGACAAGTGTATACCAAAATACTCTTTGGTGACAAGACAATACATATCATAGAGTTTTGAGGACAGAAAATTTCCACTTGATTTTACCAAGTTTCCCAGACAGAGACCCTCAGAGTTAATGATGGGTGAGTAGAGCATGAAGCAAGGAGGGAAACCCACATCCCTCTAGAATTCTGCACATTGCACTATATTTGAAATACAGTCCTCGTTGAGAACAAGCTTGCCCATTGCTAGATTCAAGGAGGCCAGGATATGAAAATGGGTCATTTTCTGCTTTCCTGGAGCACAGGCCTTTTGCCTCCCCCACAACCTGAAGATAGTGGCTCACATCTGCTGGGCTCCTCCCCCACTGAGCACACCATCTGTGCTTGGGAGGGAAGAGGGAGGCCTCCTGGCTGAGTGTTGCTGCAGACAGAGCCCCACAGCTGACTCCAGGTCTGGCTTATGAGGAGTAAACTCTAGAAAAACTCACACTAAATTGGTCAAGGTCAAAAGTACAGTTAAGGGAGGATGAGTGATAAAAACAAAAATTTCCCTGTAATTTTGACTTGTCCCTAAAGTAAGCATTTATACTGAGTTTGAGGTATGAAAGGGGGTGATTACAAAGTAAAGGGTGCCGGAAGGCATTTGAAAGGGAAAGAGGACAGAATGCGATTTTACCACGTTAAAATGTGGTACATTTATTTATTGCTGTGCAGGAAATGAGAACAATGCCAGTAAATTGGAGATGACCTGCTATGTGCCAGGACCATTTAGGGAGGAAAAAGAACATCAGTTTTCTATGATTGACCAATGAGCAATTAAATTAATGATTAGGAATGAAGATAAAGATCTATCATGAGTTATAGGAGAGTGAAAACAAGATGAGAAGAAATGGGAATATTTAAGCAAGTTTTTAAGGTTTCTGTAATTCAAATAACCACGTAAATTGAGACAAAGCATTTAGGTTTAAATCTCCCCACCCAAATTAAAATATAAGTCAAAGGTCAATAGGTCAGACCACTGGGAATTATTTTTCAAGGAAGTCATTATATTACTCATGTAGGTGTATTTTTTTTTACTTTAAGTTCTTCCTTCTTGGATAAATTGGAGACAAAGACCTTGAATATTTGCATACCCTTTGCCAAGTTACTTAATCTTTCAGCTTCAGTTTCCTCATTTCTGAAAAATGGGATGGTCATAATAACTATCTTACAGTGTTGTTGGGGCAATGAAATGTGACTATATGAAAATAGTATAGTGTACCTGGAAGCTCTAAACAAATGCTAATGTAAACTCTTTAATATTTCACATTACCTTTGTCCTTTGACTTTATCACATCCCTGTGCATCATGTTTTTGGAGTAAAGTCAGGGATTAGGTGCTAACTTTAGATGAACCTAGATAGTTTGAGCATTGGGGAACTAGAAACACTAGCACCCTGGGAAAGGCATCAGGAAAATTCTGAAATGAAATTAATCAGAGTGGGTTGTCTCTACGTGGCTGCCACAGGCAAACCACCATGACTGACCCCAACTAACAATATTTGTAATATGAGGCTAGAGTAAGCATTGAAAGACAGCATGGAAAAGCCATAAGGTTTGTTATCAAAAGATGAGCAGCAGTGGTTAAGTGCAGGAGAAAGGAGAGGGACCATCATCTCTCTAGTTCCAGGGAATGAGAAAGGGGAGTTACTGAGTTTCAGTTTTGCAAGGTAGAGAGAGTACTGTAGATGGATGTGATGAAGACAGCACAAGCATGTGGATGTAAGTGACATCTCCGATCCATGTATCAGAAAATAGTTAAGACAGTAAATTTTGTTATATGTATTTTGCCATAATTAAAAATATATTATGGGA